AAATTCAGAAACCAAAACTAGTATAAATAGTTACATGAATTATTAATAATATTTAAACATCGAATTATATTTTGTTTTTTTTTTTATTGTACAAATTGAACTACAATGTAAGTACTATTTATACTAAGTATGTCTAGAAAGTTTGAAAACTTAAAATTATTATAAAGACCTTCTGCAATAACATGCGATACATTTTTAATTAAATAATTATCTTATCTTTATATAGTATACTATATAAATTTTCTTAGTCACTAAGCTTAAGTCGTTGACTGTTTGGAGTTTGTTGAAGTTATGATTTTCATTAAAAATGTAGGATATTTAAACTTTCTAGATACATTATACTGAAATTCAATTAAAAAAAAAAAACAAATATAAATTTTCTACATAATAATTAAAAAGTCTAAAATGTAATAATTTCAATAACGAAAATAGAAATAAAAAAAGTAATCACAACAATAATTATATTCTAAGAAGATATTTCAATCAATATATCTAATTATTTGAAAAATAACTCGGAAAAACAAACTGAATAAACTCACAAAGATTATTTTGGTAATAAATATAACGTAACAATTAAATTTAAATAAATCAGATGGTATGAATATTTTAAGTAAGGTATCTTAAGCCTTTATAGGCTTTATAGGCTTTAATAGTTATTATGTTTTGCTATGTCATGATAAAAATTGTTATAAAAAATGATAAAAATTAATTTTTTTTAACGCTCATGTGGGCTCAACTACAGTACATAATATCTCTTAACATAAAATGTATACAATATAAAATTATTAGTTCGTAATTCAATATATAATTTGTAAACAAAAATTGGTAAATTAAAATTAGAATAAATGAAATATTTTATATAAAACAGGATATAGATGCATACGTGTATACATTTTAATTACATTAAATAGCTGAAAAACAAGGGTTAGATATAAATTTCTCATAGTTAAAAAATCAAAATGTATTAAATTGTTAAATACTCTGGTTAAATGAATTATTAAAACCATAAGATGTGCGATCAAAAGGAATTTCAAACGTGGGACAGTTTCGTGATTGATATTGCGGATTATGAAAGTTAAATACAATAATTATTCAGGGCAAGATATCAAGCTGTTCACTAATTTAGATAATAAACAAATATTGTACCTATGTCCATTTACGACATAACCTAAATTTAGAGATACTTGAACTGAAGACTTAACTAAAGATAGAGGTAATAATAAGGGTGTGTTGATATTAAAAATATATGACGTTCATAAGCAATGAGACGTAAAAATCTTCTTTGTACTCGTTCAATTGCTTCACTTAGAACCTTTTGATAGGGATTCCAAATAACTGGACAGTACTCTAGTATTGATCTAACCAGAGAAATATACAACGTTTTTAGACATAGTTCAATTTTAAAATCCTTAATGTTTCTAGTCATAAAACCAAGGAATCTTAAATGTATTCAATATGAGAGGAAAATAATAAATTCGTTTGGAACATCACACCAAGATCACAAACATAAGTTTAATATTATTATAACTAATGCTTGAGAATTTTTAAGAAAACTATAGCTTATGATGTACTCCATTTATAAAATAAAATTATACATTTACTCAACAAATTGTTCTTCTAGTCAATACGAATATCATATTAATACAATTCTATATTTTTGGTATTCGATAGAAAATAGTTATACAATTGTAATAAAATAAAATACAATAAATAATAAAATATTTTAAGATCTTGTATATATGTTAGGAAGTAAAATTATCTTCCTAAAATATATTATAAATGATAAAATACCGCTAAACATATCATAATGTATAAAGTGTTGTATGCCAACAGCCTTGCTTTATGTAATGTAAAATAAAAAAAACGTCAAAGTTTTGTGTTATGACAACTGACTTGTAAGAATAACACGTATTTTTAAGCACAGTTCACACATAATGAATTATGAAACATCTATATAACGGATATAAAGTGCACTTGAGTTATCCAATTTAGGAACAAAAAACGATTTATTCAAGAGTAATTAGTTTTATTGTGATGTTTACTTAAAATTTAAAATTACATTAATTTCTCTAATAATTGAGTATTTCATGTGTTGAAAAGAATCAATGCTATTTCCAATCACGTAATAATTTAGTATTAAAGTGAGAAACAGAAATGTCTCAATATCGAATGTACTGAATAACAAACTAAATCACACCACGGCAACGTCTCCTCAGTGTGTGATGGCCAGTGAGCCGAAATTATCTTCGTACTTTTTGAAAGTCTATTGTTTTGACGTAATAGGTGTACGTGGGAAAAGGTGCGCATACTTCGATTTGAAAACTTTGTTCGTTCTTCAGTCGAAAAGTTTTTAGTGCACATCCGTATTTCTCGTGCACCTAACAATACAATCGTATAATAGAATTACCGTAGATTTTCACTGCGCTGGAAAAACAAAAAAATAATACGTTCAATAAATCTAAGTAGTTTCGCAGCTATGGCACAACGTACAAGGTCTAATTTAAAGCCTACAACACTTCTTTGCAGCGCCAGCGGAAGGGCAAGGTAGATGGAGAACTGTCATTTTAGGGGCTTCGTGCCTATCATGAGATTCAATGATTTTTTTTAAAAGTAATAAATTTACAAATTAAATAACAAATGCCGTCTGCCACGTGAAAACTTGAATGAATTTTAATCTTTAACTCTAATATATTATTTTTAGTTTTACATTTGTATCATCAATAATATAACATATTTTTGACACTTTGATGATGAAATATAGTATTCACACTAAGAAATAATCAACAGTAAAATTTTGGTTCACTCTCGTTATTGTTTGTCATGTTTTTAATAGTTCAAAAATATTACTATTCCTCATCTTGTATGTGCTCGCATATAATTTATTACAGGTTAGGATTTTACTGGACACTGACAAGAAATAATGTTTTTTTTAAATAATTTTTATCATCGATATTTGTTTTTAATTTCACTGTCATTCGCCATTTTGACATTCGACATTTAACAGTTGGTAAACATTTGATGATTTTTATTCCTTTCTTTTATATTGATTGAAGCTTGAGATATATTGGTCACGGGTTATAAAATATATGAAGGATTGCTTATTTTTTTTTACCATGTTTCCTCAGGAAACTACAGCTTTTCAAGCTCTTTCAGTGCTAAAAAAATATTGCGATTTTGATTCAAATATTACAATTGCACTTCGAATAATGCTTTCAATCCCCAGTGATATCTGCTGTTGTAGCTAACCTGCTGAAGTTTTTCCAAACTAAACATAATTAAAAATTATTTAAGGAGTACTTTATCACAGTGTTAACTTACAACTTCAGCTACTCTATCGATTAAACAAGATGATACTGACTTGTTAGATTTTAATCAGTTGATTGAAGTTTTTGTTGCAACCAAAACCAGAAAAAATAATTTTGATGTATTTTGATTTGTTTTTTTATTTTTTTGTCATTTTTTGTGTACAATTTTAAATAACTACCGAAAACATTTAATTTCTCTACATTTCATTTTTATATGAATATGATAATATATTATAACATTGATATAAATTTTCTAAGAATAAATAACTATATATTTGAAAAGGTTAATACTTTGTATAATTTTATGTGTAAAAAAAATGTTTTTACATAAATTATATAAAATAGAAAAGAAATGTAATACGAGTATTTGGGCATTACAAAAAAAAAATTTTTTATCCTGGCGTAAACAGTAAGGTCCCATGAAAGTCTGCCCTGGGCCCCGCAAAACCTTCCGCCAGTTCTGCTTCTTTGTGAGAACCTTTGCTTCGGTACAACACGCATACCGCAAGAGCACAAACGAAGTGTTACGGACTCGAGTGGAAATCGAGTATTCGTCCCAATGTACTCGTACAGAAGCGTAAGAAAAACAATTAGATATCACTACGCACATCCATAGAGAAATTATAGTTTTGTAAGCGACATTCACGTTCGTTTGAAAATCGCATTGAATGTCGTTTAAATTTTAGCAGACCTGGCAAGGTATATACGATATATACATACGAAAAAGTCGTGATTAAAGTTATTTTGCTCGCAGTACGTGCAGTAGCAATCAAATAGTGAAATAGTGATCGAATGGTTTTGATTAGACGGGATGAACAAGATGCAAGGTTTGCATAGATTCGAAAAAATTGTAGGAACCTTTAATAAATGGGTGAACAAATACGGATACTATAAAAACTGTACACTATATTAATTATTAAAAATTAATATTTAATTTATACCAAGATGGCCATTAACTAGTTAAAAAATTAAGTTAAGTTAAAAAATTTATATTTGTTTGACTTTTTAACAAAACTAGTTAAATAATTAACTAAGTTAGTTTATTTTCTAATAAACTTTTTAACTTATATAGTTTATTTGGTAGTTGAAATAACTTAGCTATTCACAGTTCATTTAAAAATGATGCATCAAGTTAAATTCTGGTTTAAACGTAAATATTAATATAAAAATTAAATAATTATATAAAGTAAAATGGTCGCATACACTACATATCAGAGGTCATATTAAAGTTTGTAGTTTGGGGATCCAACTTTGGTTATTGAGTTCTAGCCATGGATACCGAATGTTACGTATAAAGAATTTTAACTATAAAGATAAATAAATACGGTAGTGCCCCTTGTTGTACAATGTCATAGTATTTTTCAAAAACTTCGGCACCACTACTGTATATTATGATAAAAAATTCAATAAAATTGTCTATCGCAATTTAGGAAATTAGACATTTTTAAAGAATAGTCACTTTTCATGTGATTAACATACCGATTAAAAAAAAGTAGATTAATTTTTTTTAAGCATAGTTAAGTTAATACTTTTTTCCTTATAATTTTTAACTTATCGAGTTAAATTTAGGAACTGTTAACTTTTAACACATCAATCTTGTGTTCTCTTAACTGAACTCAACTCGAATTGATTTACATGAATTTAATTTACATATTCAAAGTGCAGCCAAATAACTAACACGTTTACGTTTCGTAGTGCACGGACGTCAGCAGCGGCGGCGGGCATAACGATCATCGCGATGTCACCGTCGGCGCGACGGACGCGGACGTTGTCATCGTGGACGCGATCGGCCCCGTGGCGGCCGGCCGGCCGGGACGCGTCGCTACATCGGCAACAGTGACGGACGACGTGCTGGCGGCCGACGAGGGATCCGACCGCGATGGCGGTGGCCGCGTCCCACGGCAACGGCAGCTGCTCGACGCGGCAGCGGGAGACGAACCGGACACGACGTGGACCGCCGCCGGGGAACAACCGCAGCATCCGGACGCGGCGGTGCTACAGCCGCACACCGCGTGCTTCGAGACCGGAAACAACCGTCAACTGCACGACTTGACCGTAAGTAGTCTAATCCGACGCGTAGGCGTCAAGCTCATGTTGCCCGTCCGAATGCTACCGATTTCGTTTTTCAACAACGTTTCTACATTTGTGCGGTGTGTGAATTATGAACTCGATTTCGCTAGAATAAAAGGCGATGGACGATTTCCGATTGCAATCTATGACTGAGTTGTCGATCACTATTGACTTGTGTGAAAATCGAATCACGAAAACGTGAATTTTACGGTATTGTTTCTTCAACAAAACCCAAAAGCTAAACAGCTCCCCAACTCATTCGATTCTTACTCAACGTAGAAACTGCCTGGTTGATTACATGTATATGATATTAGGATTTTTTAATTTTTCCGATACCTTATTAAATTAAATTTTAGTTTGCTAATAATTTCTCAAATAACATATTACGTTTACCGGTGACGCGTAACCATGTTCTTAGAACTCTAGTTGTTATTCACGGCGTAGATCAGTTTAATAAATAACACAGGAAGTCTTTAGTCCAACCATCCGTCGGTTTTATTATTATATATTTAAACTTTAGATGAATAACTGCAATAAATAAGAAATTTAAAAAATGCTTGGGTCTAATGTTAATCAAAAGTACGTTCCACAATGAACGGATTCCTGACAAATTAACTCTAAACAATTTTTAAATAACGTTTATAAATCTCGAAAGCTTTGAAAAAATCAAACAATCTGCAGCACAAATGCACGGTTCACTTATGGCTACAACGATATCGTTAAATTTTTATCGATGTTAGAAGTTTAGTAGAGCTCGTTAACTCTTGTTTATAGTTATCGTCGTACGAAATTCGCTTTGTTTCCGCCCGTCCGCAAAACGTTATGGATCCAGACGTTTAATTCGAATCATGAATGAATGACAATTATTATCCACGTTACGACAAAAACTCGCTGCAGACATTGCATTTAATTAAAAATGTACATAATCGCCATTCTCGCGTGCTAATACATACGTACGTTTTGATTTAATCGCGCCCGTGCACATTTTATACTACGATTAAAGGCATTGTGGGGAATCGACCCACAAATACATCAACGTGCACAAGCATATCACAATAATATCGTATCGAGTCGAAAACCATGTGGTGTAAAATAATTTTCCGAAAATCAAACAACGATAACGCGGACGCGTCGCCGTCCGGAACGATTTGCGTAATTTGAACCTGTGTATAAAAAATACATTATAATACATACACAAAGCGTTCGTTAATTAAATCCTGGTAGAGGATTACTATGGAAAAATCTCATAGAATGCCTGCAGTTGTGCCTCGGAAGCATAATATCTACTGATTTAAATATGAAATCAACTTTTGCATATATTACCATAATCATATAGATTCAACCCGTGGCTGTATATTTTTATTTTTTTAAATTTAAATTGTTTTTTTTTTTTGGTTTTTGGTCAGAGCACTTACTGTTTTACACGTTTGTTTTATCACAGTTATTTTTTTTAAATAAATACATTTTTTATCATTTTACTGTTGCAGGTAAACATATTACACATAAAATATACGACCGAAAACGTTTTTATATGCCTGTAATAAGCGATTAAAATTTACTTTTTTAACTACCCATTATAGTATACCATGTTTGTTATATTCATATGATTTTTTTTGTTATTTTTTGTCAATTTTCGAAGAAAAACACTCAAACTTTTAATTAATGATTACAATAATTTGTTATGAAATGTATTTCTGCATTATATAAATCATGAATATTATATTATAATATTAGGTAGTAAATAAGAATTTTATGGTATAACATTTGCTATAAATAGACTTAATTTAATTTCATGAAATATATTTATACATTCACGTGTAAACTTAAGAGTGTGCGCGAAATACTTGCACATAGTCCAGTGATAATAATTTTAAAGACATTCGGGAAAAAAATATTTCTTCCATCTCAAACTTAGCAGTATGTATACTTTAAGTGTTAGTATATAAGTTGTGTATTTTTTAAATAGATTTTATAAATATACGAGTGTCATAAAGTTTTCATTTCCGCATATTGAATAAACATCGACAAAAAAAAACTACATTCCTCATTTTTCTCGGAATCTAAAGCCATTTATAAGCTATAAATTATTAATAGAATCGACTACTTATACATACATACACACTAAAAATCGATTTAATTTTTAATGATATTTCATTTAAATTTTATAATAAAACTGTTATCATATCCTATTAAATATTTTAAAACCGAAAAATGAACCGTGTTTGAATATTACTTTATGGTTTATAATAATACTCGTACACCACAATATAGGTAAGATATTAATGATACAGACATCATTTAGGATTTGTGGATTTCCAAGACTTATGATTAACACGATTAACACTAAATTTGAAAAACATAATATTCAATATATTTCCTCAAAGAACAATGTATATTTGTTTTTTATAAATTATTTTTACAAATAAGTATTATGAACATGCGTCATAATACAAGAGGTACTAACAATGAAAATTATAATTAATATATCAAATGCTCCTCCACTTTTCAATGAACAAACTATCAACAAAGTTTTTGGATCACATTTCTATTTGTTTTCTTGTAGTTATAATTATTTTTTCTTATTTTCTGAGTTTATATTTCGTTCTAACTTTTACCATTTTTCTTCTGTATTTGTATTTTAGTTAATAAACTGTATTATACCTGTATACCTTGGTACTCGTAGAGTAATTTGATATGAATACGATTTGCTATAACCATGGGTGGAAATATTTTCTTCGTCAAAACTCTTAGTATCACGAGAATTCAATATCCGTTTCAAATAAAAAAAATTATTTTTAATAAATATTGGAGTTTAATCGAAAAATAAAATATTCAGATTAAATATCTCTATCAGTATATAATAAATTTAAATCTTATACACACTTGTCAGAACATTTGAATATAAAATAATGCATGATTGCTCCAATTCAATTTTGTAAAATTTAATATTTATCTAAAACCTACACTATAGCCAATAATGAAATGTATTACAATTTATCATATATTTAATAAAGACTATTAAATTATAATTAAATATATATATAAAAAAAAAAAAAAATTGGTAATTTAATAATTTATAGTTTATTTCATTACATTTTTCCATATTATTAGATTTACGTATGCAGTTCTCATTATATTATATTTTTAGACATAACGATTACGCGTACCAGCAGTGAATGTAATTATTGTTTATAACAAATATTTAAACTTATACGGTATACTCTACTGTCTAAACTTAAGTAACGACGTAACCCAAACATAACATTTGTGTTTACTGTTTACTAATAAATGGACAAAATACTAAAAATTGAAATAACTCTGTAAGTTCTCCCTTTTTAATGTGAAGTAAACACTGAATAAACAAAAACATAATATACTAAGAAATCTTTTATTTAAAACACGTGTGCTTATTATTTTAATCGAACGTAATGTGTGTATGTGATTAGTGATGACGTAAATTACAGTATGATACATACACAGTGCCGTATTTATGGTGGGAGTGTGTTGGGGGTTTTCACCTCACCCAAGGAATTTCCAGACCTCAAACTTTTAAATTTCGATCAATTTGAAGTTTGTTGATTTTGTAAATTCGTATAATAGAAAAATTTTAAAATGTATACGTTTTTTTTTTTAATTTTATAAAACTATATTTTATAAAAACTAATAAAACCCGGGTACGATAATATTGGTGTTTTCGACTATGCAAATCGAAACATATTTGACACTTCACAAGTTAATGCCATGTTGCATAATTCGTAGAAAAATGTTGTCTACTAATCTTGTAAATAATTGGATGAAGATCGCATTTTGTTTCAGAAAAGACTTTATGGCCTTACCATGTTATCGATTCATCCATATTTAAATATTACTACTGGTGAAGTTATTGAAAAATTGGGAAATAAAAGAAGGTAGTTTATCATGTAGCTTAAAATTAATGAAATTTCATTTTTCAATAAGAAGAAAATGGATATAAATTTATTTTTGACAATTTTATACTGATTTATAAAAAAAAAATTATATGATGACACCCACTATAAATTGTTTGTAAACACGCCACAGTACATAAACAACGTACGACCAGCATTGATTTTATAATATACTATATTTATAATATATTTTATAAATATATATAATATTATATATATAATAAATATAGTAGGATTATTATAAAATCAATGGTACTATGTACTATAACGAATGAAATCTCAATTAAATTATTAATGTTTCAATGAGAACATGAACGTTTGCAATAGAAATACACTAAGTGCTTAAAATGGGAAAAATGAAGTGAAGAAACTTAAAATCATTAATTTATAACTATGTTATATCGTATACCACAGTTCCAAGAGAAAAACTATTTAACACTCGTGGAAATTGCTCATTTCACTTATCAGCTTCCTATGCATTGAAAAATTTCAATAAGTACCACTATCAGTAGCGACCAGCAGCGCAACCAGGAGGGTGGTTCGTGGTTGTAATCCTTCAAATCATCTAGTTAACTTAACTTCACCCCATTCTCCCTAACACCTTCCAAAATTCATTTTTTCAAATGTATAAACCTCCTGTAAAAAAAAAAATCCTGGTTTTACCACTTATAGCAAATATCTATTTGTATAGCATAATTCAATAACAAACCATATAAATACAAGTATATTTTAAATTGTTAGATTGTTGTATTAGATTATAAATATTCCTCGTGCTCACAATTTTCAATCATTGAAGAACTTCCAATACATATTTATAATGATATAGGTGTGATTAATTCTCAGATCAAAAATATTAATATTTAAATTTTAAAAATAATGTTGTTTATGATTTTTTAAATTTTATTTAATATCAACTCTAGAACAGCATATGGTATAGTAGAAGTTATTATAGTTAACCGGAATAATTTGGTTAACTATAATATCAGTCCCACAGCCTATATTCTCATGTGATGTTGGAGTTAATTCGAATAATTACATTAAAAAAAACATCTCTATGAGATAAAAATCGAGAGGATGTCAAACAAAGAATATGAATTAATTTCAAATATAGTGTAAATTATTTTTGTCGATTAAGTATTGTGCAAATATTATGTAACAGATATTTTTCTATAAATATCGTTTTGTATGTATAGACTATTGTAGCAACTTACAGCAGTGTAACGATTTTTTGAACTATATTTCCGAAAATTTTAATTTTATATTTTTAATATTAAAATTAAAAATAGATATGTAAAATGTCAAATAATAACTGTTCGTAATAAACGTGATAACAAGGAAATACGTTTGATATTTTTGATTTTTGTAGAAAAAAAAGGTCATGTTTATAGTGTATACCTGCGTATCACAAATTATATTATAAGTAATCGCATCAGCCAAAAAATGGAGGGTTATTATATGCCGTATACCTACGTATACGATCCACTACACCACTAGTACTCACAAAAATGTTACTAAAACATAGAATTCACAGTTAAAAAATATACGGAAAAAGTGAATTGAAAAAACATTTTTCGTTGAAATAATTTAAAAGTAATACCTAAGATTAGTTTTGTATTTGAAATCACCCTTTCGTGTAGGTTTTACATCGCATTATTTTACATAATAACACGCATCGCCTAGTCAGTCCTCGAATTATGAGATTATGAGGAAGGGAGTGGGAAGTAATCTGACTATGTAATTACATTAAAAGAGCACCCTTATACTTCCATTAGAACAACAAGGGGTAGTACGAGGTGGAGTACTTTCTTTTTACAAAATATTTAATGTACATTATTTTTTATGTACAGTTTAAATATATAAATCGATAGTAAAAGAATCCAATGGTTTTACTATCTATGTACATAGTTTTGGTGTACCTTTGTAATTAAAAAAAAAAAATTTAGAGGCATGATTTTAGTGACATAATACATAAGTATTAGCTACGTTAGATCTACGTTACAATTGTGTTATACGATCGTAATACGTAACTGATGCAGGTGGACGAGGTGATCGATGCCATTCAGGATCCCGAGCTGAGGGATAAACTGCGAACGGTGTGCTTGACGGGCGATAGATGTTACATGACGTTCGCCAACGCGGAGTATTTGGAACGGGCGCTGCACACGGCATTCAGGATCCGTGACGTGCCGGTGCTGTTGATGGACACGGGCGCGGGTGCCATAATACTGTCGCTGACGGGCGTGCCGGACGCCGTGACAGACAAGGACGTACTGAAATGTCTGAAAAAATACGGCACGATAATCGGTAAAAAAAATTAAAAAAAAATCGAAATAGAAAAAATCTACGACGGAAAAAACTAAGAGCGGTTTTTTTTTTGCACGTGCTTGTTGTTTTCTCAAACAGATCGCTGCAGTCGACGGAGATAACGCACCGGTGTGCTCCGATTTTTTTCGTAACAATATAATCATCATACGCTGTGCACTCCGCAATTATCGTCGTACAAAATCCTCTCTCGGTTTCGGACCTTTGACGAGTCGATTCAAACGAAAACGGTTCGGAGATCGCGACTTTTTCACGACGTATACGATCCCGCGGTGTTCGATTAATCTTGCCGTAAGATAAAAACTCCCCGTCGGCCACAGCAATCCGTTCGATTTGTGTTTCATTCGCCATAATATTGAGTTCGGATCGATTATATCTTAACATCGAGTCCTACGAAAGACGATGCAATGACTATTACACGAGATCGTGCGCGCATATCCAGAAGTTTTCCTATTGAATACATAAATACATCGTATGCACGTAAATGTATCGAAGTGATCAGGTTATTTCGAATGTAAAGTCCAATCGCACAACTGTGTCGTGTACTTACAGTGAATATGTACACGGAACGTATATTATTTCGAGAATCAGCAGTACCTAGGTATTAGACGTAACGTATTAAACAATATCGTAAACGTTTTCCGTCCACTACATCAGATCTGTTTGTTTTTTCTCGAATTGGAGAAAATCGATTGCACCGCGAATAAATTAATAATTAATAGAGTGAGTGAGTGTTATTAGTAATTTACCAACTATTTGTAATAACTTATTACAAATAGTTGGTAAATTTTCCTACAGTAAATGTGCTAATTCGATACAATAATGTAACTTTGTTGTGGGATATTATATACATGACATCGATCGTATTTTTTCGGCTTTTTCTTAACCGGTACTCCTAATTTATACCTATAAATAATCGGTATAATATACGTTTAAATTGTATAATTTATTACCAGCGCGTTTCGCTGATACACCCAAACGAATAAACGTAAATGGATGTGACACGAAATTCATTTGCTGCAGTATTACAAGACATTAATTTTCGTCCAACTTCCGGATATAATCTCACGTAGTTCGGTTCGTATTTTTAACGTAAACATAATTTTCGGTTTGTTCCACAATAAAAATTCATCAGTGTCTACTGTAATAACGTTTATTTTTAAGTTTGTAAACGTACCAAAACTATTTCGTATCGAATATCATCCCGACCCATGGTTTCGTTTGTTCGATTACAAACATAAGAACGTTCTGCAAACTGTCGGTACCTATAGTTGAAAGAACGAACGGTTACCCATTAGAAATAAATTTAATCTACATATGAATCGTTTGAAATACTTGCTTTCGTTTTATAATACATGCAGTATACTGAATAAAGATACATAAAATTTCGATTTATAATTATACCTGTTATCGTAGTGTATCAATATTAATTCGAAATACGTTGTGGATAAAATATATCTTATTCGGATCAGAAACAGATTTGAAAGCTACTCTGAAGTTTGTATTTACTTATTTACTTTATAACAAATTCTTATCCTGATTTATGAAAATATAAATAACATATAATATGCTTTCAGTTTTATTCCGAAATGTATTTTATTGATTTTTGACATCGTCAGTGGAGTATTTGTAAATATTAAAACAACAGTTAATGAGGTTTTTAAAAATCGTCAAATTACTTGAGACCCATGTTCAATATCTAATTCCTCTGGTTATCATTTGAAACTAATAATAATTATTTATAACATTTTTTAAAAAAATATGTATACTGAAATTCAATGAGAATTCCAACTATCATTACTCTATAAATGGATGTAAAATAACTGATAATTATTAACAATAATATTATTAAAAATATTTATTTGATTTATTTACTTGTATTATTATCAGAATATTTAAAAAGTGTTTAATATTGTATTAAAATACTTTAGAAGATTGATAATATTATTATTCAACATTAAATCGTGTATAAATTTAAATTTTATTAAATAAACTAATTAAATTTAAAAAAAAATGAGAGAACTAAACTATTATAGGCACTGCAAAATATATTATACTTCGCAGAAATGTGTTCAAATTAAAATTGTATGATATTCCTTTTATAGCATTTCATAGGATGTTGAAATAACCACAAAAAAAAAAAAAAAAAAAAAAATTCATAAATAAATAAATTTTTTATAGAATGCAGAATCTTATATCTCAATGTAACTATAGAATAAAATGTTTACTATCAGTATTTAATTTTACTACAACAATATAAAATATTAAATCACTACACTTGTATGACCCTAATCCCGAAACTCTTGATTTTCATAAAACAACAGTGGCAGTCGATTAGTTTATCTTTTTTATGAACATTTTCAGCATTTTTACTTAAACCCTTAAACTTGTTATACTTTAAAATATCATTTACATTCATGTCTTTGCCGAAAATTCATGTAAAGGGTAGAAATTATAAGGGTGCTTTGATTCGATACATTTTCCGTAACACCATCTCAATCATCAGTATGAGTATTATGTATAATAAATTATTTGAAAAATTACATATGTTTTTTTTTTTATTTATTTAAATTACTTTTGGAAATATAAATAACAAAAATATCTTAATGGGTTCAAGAAGTGGTTTTTAATTATATTATGTACATGAATAAACTACAAAATGATAATAATAATTAAACAGTGCTTAAAAACGCATAAAATTAAAAAATAAATTAGAATCGTTGTGGTGAAATCTATCGAAATACATTACTTGTGTAACTTTGTTATCGTATTAGAAAGTTATTTCAGACTTGAAAAAAATAACCAAATTTATTAGATTTATTATACTGCACATTTTTTTTCTACATACTGAATAATAATCTTTGTTAAAGTGACGCAAAAGTAGAACGAGGTTTTGATAAGGTTACATCTGCTTGCTTCTTACTAATTTACTCAGTGGCGTATTTGAGAAGCGGACAATAGGGGCATAATTCCATTCTTATGACTACTCGTTAATCTTGCGTTCCCACCAAATACGGGCAAAAGCGTTTCTCGCGTGTAGGCCTGTGGAAATTGTCACTTTAAATAATTTAAATAATGTATCGCACTAACTGAATTATCATTTAATTATCAACAATAATATATATTAATTAGGTAAGTATGTAAAACAAATTTTATTTAAACACTAAAACATAATTTTTTTAAATTTAAACCATTTTTATTTATAATTAATAACAAAATACATTTTCAAATTTACCGCTGTAGGCACGTGCCTATAGTACTGATATTTAAATACGTCACTGAATACGGTACCCAATTTTGTAATTACAAAACAAACTGTTTCTAACATCAACACCATGTTCTGTGTTATAATCATGGATAATAAAAAAAAATCTATTATCTATAGTTTGGTATAATCAATAATCAATATTCTGCGAAAATATTTTATTTTTATTATACATTTAAGTTTATCGTTGATTCTGCTGTTTAAGTTTCATATTGATAAAATATTTTATGTTTTTAGAACAGTAAAGGTTTTGACGTTAATATGCCACTGAGTTTACTAATAAATTTTTCCTCTTAAGTCTTAAATAGCTAATATATAACATATTATAATATGTAGGGTAATATATAGGAATATATAACATCTAGGACTTATTTTTTGTTTTAATTAAATAATATTAATTATTACATTTAATTATTTAAATATTTGATTAAAGTTTTTTGTTTTAAAAATAGACATGACGTTCTAACTGTAAAGTGAAACAGAATGCATTCAATATAGTAAATATTTTCATTCACGCTTATTTGTCTAATTCCATAATAATTATTTTTGAACGAAATATTTAACTTTTCTACTATAGGTTTTAGTTTGTCCAATTTGTCTTTGGTGTTTTAAGGTCATTAGTTGTCATTGAAGTGCAAATTTACAAGAATTTTTTTGAAAGCATCTCGAGAAATAGAATTTGACATAAACTTAACACCTAAATCGACGTAGGTACTCCAACAATCTTTGTTGATCGGTAAAATGTGGTACCTCCATAATATTTACTATCCGTATTTTCAAATGAACAATGTGAGAAAGTAGTGACTTAATTAGAAAGATCGATAACAACATAAAATTAAAAACATATCCATTACGATAATAATGAGAGGGGATACGACGTTGATTGGTAGCAAATTGTTCAATAGCGATGACTGTGTTTGACCGGGTGTTATTATTCTGAAGAGTTGAAGATAGCCACCAAGTGCAGACTTCGATGAATAGAAAAGAACAATACGATTTAATATTGAATGGAAGCGCTAAGTGTGAAGTTAGCACACCCGAAGTACTTGAAAGTAAGAGTTTAGCTTTTAACCGCGAATCGAAGCAATTCAAATTATAAACAAGCAAAATTGGGGGAATTTATATGAGCGAAAATATAGGGTCCGAACCAATGAAGTTTGTTTGTGTAGATTATACTACACGTCGTATACTCCTTTGTGACCACAACAATAAGCGGTAAAATCGTTTATTTGGTAGTGTGACGGAAGTAAACATATAGAGGCACAGTTGGAAGTATTGACGAAAGTAAAGTTCATGGACTTTAAATCTGATCGAAAAAGAGAAATATGATAGAGTTCTTAATATATACATATATGATAAATGTATTTTTTGGTTTAGTGGTTTTATTTTTTCCCTCGAAAATATGAGTTTTACATATTCGATTATTTTCATCTATTGAAAATAAATAAGAACATTATACCGACTGTTAATATAATACATGTTGTAAAATCAGTCCAGCAGCAAATTTTTGAAAACGTTGAGGCGTACGACATGTTTAAATGTATTCATGTTTTTTTTACCGCTGTTTACGCGTACGAAAATGTATAGGTGTCCCCAGAGGGTTTTTCTGTTTTAAAGTTGTTATTAGTACTATACGTACATACAATAACGACTCTATATCATCCATAGGTCTGGGCAGAGTATAAATAATACGGGTGAATTCTCGTGAGACACCCTGTATATACAACACTGCTATAACATAAAACGATTATAGTCCATTAGTGTTATAATATTTATTATCTGAGCTCGGATTTTATAGCACTAAAAATGACTCTTTGATATGCGTTATTTTATGATTTTAAATTTTTTTTAAATTAGCGGTACAGCATGTCCTAAAATAATGAAAAACAACAAAAATCTATTTATTAAAAAAAAATATTACACATTTTTCTTCTATTAACTATTCAACATTTTTTATAGTTATTAAATAATTATTTGTAAATTAATACATTTATAAAAAATCAGAAGGAAAATGAGTATTTTTCTATTTTAATCAGAGAACTTTTTTCCTATGATTTAATTTTAATTTCGAGATTTATGTAAATAACATCATAAATCAAATGTAATGCGTGCAAAAACAAAAAACTGGAGAAGCAACACAGCAGTATGATAAAATTCTAAAAATATTAGTGAAAATACGCAATATAAGTGTTTAGATTTGAAATGCTATATGTTACATACAATTTGTTGTGAAAGATCTGTTAAAATACCAGACCCTTATACCTAGGCTTAAATTTTAAGGCTCTTTTCACAACATTTCTGGTGATATCCAAGCACTCTCCTCCTCGTGCGCACGCCTGTCAGTACCCCGTTTCTATATTTATAGTAGTACATTAGCAAATATGCTAGAGAATCCGAGCCCTAGTCCCTGATTAGAAATCGTCCTTGGTACTGTTGTGACTTGTTTTGACCATTTATCCCGCAACGTCCGGTTTACGCTGCAGGTGGCGTGGACAGGAAGACCGCCCGAGGAGGAGCGACTGGCGGTGAACGTTACGTGCGCGTCCGGCCAACGCTTGGGGCACCCAGGTACCTGTGGTTCGGCTCGGACAAAGTCGTTGTCAGGCAGCTGACCGAACACGAGACGGACACAATGAACAGCATCGCCCGAAGAAAGTCGTTCAGATCTCAAATAAAGTTGAACCTGAAGATGATCGACTCGCCCGTGCCACCGGACAACGATCGCGTGGGACCATCGACCGACTGCGGCAACGGCGACGGATCAAAAGAAAACGTCAGTGGTGGCGGTGGCGGTGACGGCGGAGGAGTTGGTGGTACCTCGATGACCGCGGTGTCCGTTCAAAATGGATTCAGGTATACGCATATTTGATCGAATATACCTATCGTGGTATGAGCGTGTTCACTGTTGACTTAATCACGTTAACAGTTTACTATTCTGCAGAATTGAAGCGACAAGCATATTATTATCGATATGCACATTTATAATATTTCATTTTTCGATAAAAACAAACGAAATTAATAAATAAATAAAATAAATAATAATAAATTATTATTATTATTATTATTATTATCTGCGTTTTGCGAGGTGTAAAATATTGTCCAATTTATTCGTCTATTGAATTTAATTGAGGTAATGTACACAGCGTATAAGCATAGGACTTGATCTCAGAAACATAAAACACAGTGAGTTATATACGTTATATTAAAATAATTTGTGGAGAAAAGTTTTCAGTTTTTTTTCCTATTGTTCTTATAACGTCTAATTATTTAATTAGAAAAAACATTTGTAAGGAAAAAAAAATATTAAATTCATTGTTTTTTAGACGTTTAATATCAAATTATTTAAGGTTTTTTTCGAAAACACCGAAAAATTATTAAATGTGATATGTTTCCGTTGAATATATGTATGTTTTTTTTACGAAAAAAAACCCATATGTTTACCGAAAATCTGGAAACGTATAACGGACAGAGCTGTACGCTGAATTCGTTATATTCAGATGTTCACGACATGTTACAGATTCCCGTCAGACCCGAAAGGGACAGCGGCGTCGGGGACAGGTACTGCTGCGAGCGTTGCGGAACCGAAGGCTTGGACGACGGCGAGTTTCAAGTCGACCGGATCGTCGAAGAAACCGAAAGCAGCGGCCAACGGGGACGGGTGCCCGCCGACGGCCGCGTCCGTGTCATCCGGTCCCGGCGAGTCGCCGCTCCGTGGACGGCGGAGAACGTCGCTGATGGGTTTCCGGCGCGAGACCATCAAGCACCGCGGCGGGTCCGTGTCCCGGGCGGACGGCGGCGGCGAGGACGCGGACAGCGACACGAGCACGATTTGCCGCCGGAAGCTGAGCATCACCGGTCGTGAGGGCACGGAAAAAGTCCCTTGGTGCGGGTGCTGGGGAAACGGGTGTCTGTGATCGCGACGGTTGCGCGTACAGCGAAATTCCTGTGCAGCCATTACGAGTATTACAATTTGTACGAACAATTTTTTCGATTATAAGCGTTTTCGTTGTGCCCAACGCGATAGTATTGTTCGCAATGCGTTGTAATCGTAGCCACGATAAATGTAAATTTATAATAACAATAATATATGTCTATTTAAATGTCTATTTAAATGTCTATTTAAATGTCACTCTCTGCTCCGTCACAAACTACGCTTTCAGGAGTAGACAAAAAAAAAAAAAAAAAAAAAAAATTAAAAAAATATTCTTAGATTTTTTCGAATCGTAACAACGTATTTAACACATATAGGCTGTCTTGTAAAAAATACTTTTGAAAAAGTATTAAAATACTAATACTAGTATTCGAATAAAATAGTATTAAAAATACTTATAAAATACTATTATAAAAATCTATTTCACGAATACTCACTAAGTATTTGAATACAAATACAAGTATTTTTTTTTAATTTTATATTACAATTTTACATTATCTAATATATCTATCGTAGTAATATACTACGTTTATATGATAGCGTTAAAACGATTTGAAATTTAACAGTTTTAAAATTAGTAATATTATAGTAATATCTTATTATTTTATTACTTATTAGATTCATCAATAATAACCGAATATTATTCTTAGAAGTAGGAACAATTATTAGGATAGAGAATTATTATGATTATACAATTATTAAAACGAACTTTGTGGTATTTAAATACAAGTATTTACAAATTGTTAATAATACTTTTAAAAAGTATTCAAAATACTTCAAAAATACTTTAAAAAAATTGTATTTAGAATACCAAAAAATGCTTCAAAAAGTATTTTAATACATGTATTCGAATACTTCACAAGACTGCATATAGGTACTTATAGTGCCGTGCTTCCGGTTGTCTGACTGTTTAGACGTAGAAAATATGTTTAAAATTTGCGTGTCCGGTGAACTGTACTTCCCAACACCTGTGACGAGGATAACTGCACGTGATAATAATAACGCACAATATGTATACATGTACTTCTGAAACGATTAATCTACCAGCAGCAATAGCGGCGTCGAGTGCAACGCAGTAGACACGCACTAGCGTCAAGTTTTTTTCTTAAAGCTCGTATACCTGGTGCCACGCAGTTCTTTTTAGAACTTTTTAACGTGCGTGTTTAGAGTTGTATACTTATACGAAGTGGACGGCATTTACGAAATCGAAAACGGCATTGTTGGAATCTCGATCAAAATGTATAGTCAGCGAGGTTAACAGTTGCCTGTCACAATATAAACGTTAATCTGAAGGTATATGTCGAAGGTGTATAGCCAAGGCATTATTTTCAGTTGTTACCACAATTAAAGATATAAATTATTATAATTCATTATTGTGACTTGTTTACCCGTTGCGTACTCATTCTAAAAATATCCACATCTGCGTAATTTTGTCTTGGTCGACTTTAACAAACTGTATGTCGTTATTGTCGTTATTGTATAATCGGATATTCTAATATTAATTGTATTATCATATTGTTCTAGATTAATGAATATTAAACAATAATCATTATTCGTTCAGTAATGTCTTCTTGGCTCTTGCGGTTGCCTACTACCTAGGTTCTTGTTTTGATAGTCTGAACTTTTAATGGTACCTACATCGTAATTGCAAATTGGTAGCATGACTAAATATTAATTTGGTGAATTAAATCTGAAATAATTCTTGTATTATATGTTTTTTAGATATTTTCCAACTTTATAACAATTTGCTTCGATTAATCCATTTTAAAATAATTGATATTTCATAATTAACAATGGAGTTATAACCTTTGATAAATTTCTTAAAATTTAAGGTACTTCTACAATGTTTTAAATGATATAATACCGTTATAATACGGTATTGAACAAAAAAAAAAAAAATACAAAAATAATTTTAACATCTCTAGTGATGTTATTAAATCTTTAACAGAAGATCGTGCACTACTACGGCCAAACGTTCGGTCACCGCACCAGTAGTCTGTGGTCGTAATAGGACGGTATTATTAACGTAATAATGTTTCGTCGTGCAAACAACGAATGACAGAACGGAATATTCGACTATCGATGTCGATGATTATACGGTTGAATAATTAATGACCGGAACTCTGTTGGAATTAATGAACGTTTAATCGCAGGTCCCCGTGTTAAATTATAATATGCAAAATACCTGGTCTTTAAATATTATAATAACACGTGTGTAATATTATTATAATAATTATTCAATACGTGCACAGCAACGCTCGCACGGTAGCCGTCTAACATTAATAATATTTTTAAAAAATACACCACGGTTCCCCTCAACCGGCCCCGGTATCTGTAGCACTCACGTGCATTACCACTGTTACGGTATCACGATAGTTTACGGTGAATTTTCCAAATATTTTATCTCGCGTTATTCCGCGAACACCGTCTGACGAGACCTGAGCATAATTATAGGCGCATAGACGCAGGACGATCACATGCCGAACGCTCTTTATTTCAATTTTTCATTAGAAAATACCGATTATAGGACTGTTCCGGACTGACGATTTGTTTTTAGATGCGATTTATTATTGGGAGTGAATGCACGTGATTTTTCAACAAAACGTTGCACCCACGACTTCACGAACGAATGTACGGTGCATGACGCGAATATTTGTTGCTTTTATGGGTAACCTTATCTGTGTTAGTTAAGACTGTATTACTAAATTTCACTGAAATTATAATTGAAAAAACTCATACCGTTAACCTATCTCCTGTATCTTTGAGTGATAGCTGTTGTTATTTGTTTATTTAAAATGGTACAGAAAAATATGTTATTGTTTAATTTTGATTCTTACAGTCATTAAGTAAACACGTGTATATTGGTACCTGACAATTATATAATGTTTTAATTATTAGTCAAATTGTAGATTAAAATAATATGGCACAGGTTGCATTTATTTGGGTTTAAGAGTTATATGCTTATGATGACTTTTAATTATAAAGTTTCATGGTGTTATAATATAAATATCATTGCACTCATTATAGTGTTAAAACACACGTGGGTATAATCGACTTAATATTTAAAAACTGTTAAAATAAATATGATCATTTTTTGTATAAGAATTTCTATATTACGGATTTGTATGGCTTTATAACATTTTCTCGTATGAGAAACTTGAAATATTCATATTCCTTTTATTGTAATCCTTGTCCACAAGTATATTATACTAATATATTAAGTACTTGTATATATATCAAAACATACATTATACATTTAATCAATAAAGATTAAAGTGTTTTAAATTCATGAAATTCTTAATACACTATTTAAACCGCTTTTGTGAATCTGATCTATATTTGAAATTTCTTGAATACTCTCGTCGGTATATTTGTGAATGTTCAGGCGACTATTGATTTACTCACGATTTTCAATAAATTTAAAAATTTTAATTTCCATTAGATTTAAATTATTGTTCGCTAGTTCTATGTTTCGATCCTAGGTTCGACGCATGATGGATTTAAACTGTAAATAATAAAATAATTTCGTTATCATTTAAACGAAATTTAAAAAATAATGTTGATTGACACCTACTAATATTTGCGTTCAACCGAATTTAAGAAATCAGCAACGTCGTTGCAAAATACGTTAATTCAGCAATATGGTTACCGGTTTTATGAGTTTTTACGTACATTTCATGCAATCCGCGGTTTTATATCCATACAGTCAGTGCACGACTTGAGAGGGGACGGAGTACCCCTTCTAATTTTTAGGAATATTAGCGTCCTCCTACCATTATTACATTATAATTATAACGCTTTTCAAGTTTTGGAACTGCAATTTTTTTTTAAAGCAAACAAAGTCCCCCTTCTTTAATTTTGCCAAGTCGAGCACTGCATACAATTACCGGGTACGTGAATTCGGCAAATACACAAATTTTGCGTTACACATACACTATATTATATACAACTATGTGTATACTTTTTGTTATAAATTCATTTTTTTCTCTTGGTTTTTTAGTTCTTTCTTTTCGTTGAATTCCGCCTCCGAACGCCTAACCTTAACATATATTTGTTTAAAACGGTGAAGGCTATCCGATGCGATTTCGGTAACTTCTATTCGTATTTGTTTGGATTATTTCCATGGGTGTTGTACTAAAATAACTGCTAAACGTATATTAATAATATATTAATAAGTACGAGTATGCTAAAAACAAACGAGAACAAATACGCAAAACGCGTCATGGTCTCGTTTAACGTTCTAGAAAAAAATGTACTAAAATTATTATAATTTAACAATGATCTTTATTTTATATTATGTTTTGTCATGAACCTAAATCATAATCAAGTAATAAAGTTAACTGAACAAGTTCTGTTCCAAATGATAGTACAATATATTAATATTATTAGTACGCAATTTTTATGCGTATACCACCGTGACCGTATTAGGACGTAGGTATCATTATTATTTCATAGTAATCATTCAAGGGAAATGTCCGAGTAATATCTACCAACTCATATTCTTTACGTTGAAAAAATCTGAACATTATTGCTCACGTTTGTCGTTTTTTTTTCTGTCCATAAACACCACTGAATATTTTTAACAACCAATTTCAACTAAAATACTTCTTGCAAATGAACCGGAATTGTCTCAATACTCGTCACCAGGGCGAAGATCATGTAGGTAGAATTAACAAGCGCAGTACTTTTTTGAATCCTAAATAACAAATTATTCTTACAAACTGACGAATCATATTATATGTGTATAATTTATATTTATATTTTTGTAATTTCTACGGCAATGTATGCAATTATATTGTATTTATTACGTAAAAACTATTTTGGGACAACATATTAGTGACGTTTTATTTTTTTATAGCCTTTTTTACCTATTAACAAAATAATATTTAGTGTTAAATATAAAAATAACGTATTAGAAATTATTAAATATTTATCATAATATCAATAAAAATAATACATAAAATATTAAAATAAAAGTTCTTGCTAGGTTAATGCTAAGCGAATGTTCTATAAAATGTGTTAATTATGACCGGTTCGCCTTGTACAAATGTAAAGGATTTTCATCTGCTTGTTTTATTTTTATATTCAGTGCGTTTTTAATAACTGATGATAGTTTTATAAATCCATTTCCTATTCCCGCATCAAGTTGTTATAAATTGAAAATATCTTTTAATT